CCATTTTTTTCCTAAAACTTCAACACCCCGAGTTTTTGTAAGGAAACATTTTTGGACCACAGTTTATAAAGCAAACTAACATTAATTTTTCACGTGGATTCACATTCTTAAATATTTGCATATCATTAAGAAACACCCTGTATATTAAAGTCAAAGCACATTCATATCAGTCACGTTTTAGTCAAAACAAAATGAAAATCAAATGGATAGTAAGCATCGATAACATCAATCATTCTTCGACTACAATGACTGGCCTATAAGAAAAGAGATAAATCACGTTCAACAATTCCTCAGCTTCCTTGAAACTTTGGCGTCTCAGCTATGAGCGTCCGGTTGTTTACGCTGGCGAAAGGAGTTTAAAAACTCCTTTAAAGATCCTCCTAGGGTGTCAACTAATTAATGGAAAATATCCACAGCGTTGCCTTCAAAAGAAACTTCGAGCTGATGCGCTGGCCGGAAGTTACAAAAACTCACTCTTAGAGGAACGGACGCTGCAAGCTGTAACTAACTTGTTGATAGTGGCGAAGTTTTCATATTAACCTTTACGATGACTTAAATCTGGGGTATAAGCAAATTTTCACACAATCTGCGTGGTTGCAATTCGGTGTTAAAAAATCAATTTCTCAGTGTCATTTTTGGTTCAAAAGAAATTTCTTGCTGACTTGGGAAACGAAGATGGAGATGCAACTACTTTTTGTTATATACCTTTCTCCGCACATTTTCTTTTTGTAGATCCACAGCAAGTGGCTATTACCGGCCGCGTGGTTGTGGTTAGATGTCTCCTTGAACATTGGTGGTCTTCTAGCGATTTTATACTACAATGTGTAGGTTGGCTCTTGTTGTGGACTTCGTGTGTCATTTTTTCCCTCTCCATCTTCGTTTCCTCAGGTTACGCCCGTACCAGGATGTATGGGCATGTGCATCTAGTCTTGTGGTTGCATATGTGCATTCATTTCGGGCCTGATGAAGCCAACCAGCAGAAATACGTATCGCTCGGGTTACCTATCCTATTTTCTGCTCGAATCCACTTTCCTCCTTTTTGCGGATTTTGCCCAATATGAGCGTTATTCCAAAAAAAACTGATCTGCCAGTAAATGCGTCTGTTTCATTTTCGATGCGCCACCCTTTATATATATGAAGAGAAAATTATCATGTAGAGAGAGGTATATAACGAAAATAGGAAAACAATGGGCAAAATCCGCAAAAAGTGGATTCGAGCAGAAAATAGGATAGGGTAACCCGAGCGATACGTATTTCTGCTGGTTGGCTTCATCACCTCGAAAATAATTCCGTCCTAATCGAACCTCATCAGTAACGTTTTTTATTCGTCGACTATGTGTTCCCTTCACTGTTGTTTAAAAACAATTTCAGCAACAATCTCGCCGACTTACTCCAGACGATGAAGACATAGATCTTCGAAAGCTTGAGAGTTTAAGTTATAAGTTTGTACTTTTGCAATACTTTGCCTTCTACCCAAAGAAATTAAAGGATATCTTCTCCTAACAGTTAAGGCAATTAACTATGAATACTATATATATATACAGGGTTATCCAAATTAAGTTTCCACCATTAGTAACTTTGTTATTAGTGAAAATACAAAGTTGTTTGAATTAGCAAACTAGTAGCATTTTTAACGCTGGTAAAAATGAGAAATAAAAAAAACAATTGAGAGTCGTTATTTTGATTTTTTTCAGTAAAATAACATTTTTTTAAATGGAAACCCCTGTATATTATATTTTTTTCTGTTAAAGCATCAAATTTTAAACAAAAAAGCTTACAATAACTTTTCTCCTAGGTTACAAATTGTTGAAGTTATGGCCTCCAATCTGAAACAATTAAATTGTATCGACAAACTTTATTTTCAACATCAACTTATAATCTTACAAAATACAATAACAATTTTTTTTAAAGAAGATGCTCGAAAACACCACCTTGTTCTTCAATACATTTTTGGGCACGTTTTTCAACTGCTCGAACTGTCTTAAGTATGGTCCTACCATCTATCTGGGTTATCTTTTCCCTAACTGCAGTCTTTAACGCGTCAAGGTTATCGTACCTTCGCTTGTAAATTTGGTTCTTTAAGTAACCCCACAAGAAGTAATCAAGTGGGTTTAGATCTGGTGATCTGGGAGGCCACTGTATTGGGCCATTTGTTCCTATCCACTGATCATTAAAAGTAGTACTTAGAAAATGATAAGTACCTCTGGAGTTGTGGGCAGGTGCGCCATCTTGCTGAAAATGCAGATGATGTCTACTTATAAGATCCAATTCGTCTAAGAAATTAGTCAGAATTTCTGACATAAATTCCACATATCTTTCACCAGTTAGGGTTCCCTCATAAAAGAACGGGCCAACAATTTTTGAACCAATTATACCGCACCAAACGTTGAAACTGAAACGGACTTGTGGGCCTCTTGGATGTACTAACAAAATATTTTCTCTTGACCAATAATGGTGGTTTTTTCTATTAAACATTCCAGAATTTGAAAAATTTGATTCATCTGTCCATAAAAGGTAACGAAAGTTATTTACATTTTGGCGACAGAAGCTAAGATACCAATGGCAAAAAACAAGTCTTCTCTCTGGATCCCCTGCCAAAAGCGTTTGAACTGGTCGGTACTTATACGGAATAAATTTGTATTTTTTTAAAATCCTTTGAACAGTACCATAACTGAAATTAGAGTCCTTGAGAATATCTGCTATTGAATTCTCACGATAAGCTTCAAAATATCCAATAACTGCAATTTCCGTGGCCTCGCTTATTATGAATTCTTTTTTTGCCCTTGTTTTAGCAAAAACATTTTCGTTGCCCCTAAATTTTCGATAAAGTCTCAGAAAATATCGTTCATACGGTTGAATGCGAGCGGGATATAATTCACTGTAGTATTCTCTTGCTCTCAAGGAGGATTTTCTGCACACTAAATAGCATTCTAACATATCACACTTTTCTTCATGGGAGAACATTTTTCTTTAAATTAATGACACAATAAAGCTTATAAACAAGTATTTACACTAATGTTTGACATTATTTGATTTTATCATTGTTTTCCAAAGCCTTCTAGTTGCGAGTATGTCCAGTTTAACAATTTGTCGCTTATCTTAATGCTGTCAAATCGCGAACGCCATGTTGTTTTCATAGCCGTCTTAATATTATAATACTGCAAATAATTAAAAATATTTATCGTTATTTTGACTTTATTTTTGACTTTAGCGGAAAAGTCATTATGAACTTTTTTGTTTAAAATTTGATGCTTTAACAGAAAAAAATATAATATACAGGGGTTTCCATTTAAAAAAATGTTATTTTACTGAAAAAAATCAAAATAACGACCCTCAATTGTTTTTTTTTATTTCTCATTTTTACCAGCGTTAAAAATGCTACTAGTTTGCTAATTCAAACAACTTTGTATTTTCACTAATAACAAAGTTACTAATGGTGGACACTTAATTTGGATAACCCTGTATATATATAACTTGAGACGTGGTCATTGTCGTCTAGACCAGTTAGGTGAAAAATTAAAGCTTCCTTTTGTTGGGTACTTCGACAAAATTTAAGCAAAGAGAACTCTTTATACTTTTTTTAATTCTCTCTAGCTTTCAATGGACTTTGCCATCATCATCAGGAGCTGCAATTACGAGTACAATGATAACAGTAGCAACAAAAGTGTAAGTGTAAGTCAATTTAAATCAATATTACACTTTTGTTGCTACTGTTATCATTGTAATTGCAGCTCCTGATGATGATGGCAAAGTCCATTGAAAGCTAGAGAGAATTAAAAAAAGTATAAAGAGTTCTCTTTGCTTAAATTTTGTCGAAGTACCCAACAAAAGGCGGAAGCTTTAATTTTTCACCTATATATATATATATATATATATATATATGGATTTCAAAACCTATATATATATATATATATATATATATATATATCATGGCTGTAAAAAGAAAACTTTGAAAAGAAAATTTAGTAAATGGGTCAAAACCACCAAGGTGGAAAATTAGCTTCCGTAGCTAGCTAATGCCTAAATTCGTTATTTTTTTTAAATATTTATTGTCGATACTTATAGCTGTGTAATCATATTAACAGTACATACTATTTTTATACTTCAAAAGTAAACCATGTTCATGATTATTTGACCAAATAAGTGCAAAAATCATTTCGAGAACGTGTCCTAAGTACCATTTTTTATAAACTAACACCACAAATATCCATAAAATGGAATTAATCTAGGAGTTTTTGTTATTTATTAGCCTTCAATTTTATCTGACATCAGGAATTATATGCATTATTAAAGAAAAAAAAAGAATTATAAGAAACTCAAGACAAAATATTATGTCCGGTAATGTAAGCGTCATTTGAGTGAACGCAGCTCTGATTACCCTGAAGAATAGTGTTGTTGAACGCAGCCTCTAAATGTCTATGGTACAGTGTAGTGGAACATGTAAACAAAGTGGCCATCAAAAGATCTTTCCGGCAAAATAATTGGCAATAGGTGGTAAGTACGTTTCTATTTATTATCCACAGAGCGTACATCAAAAGGTCATCATTCCGGGAATACGTTTGTTAACTTGGAATATTGAAAAAATGCGTTTCATAGTCTTTATGACAAACACTAACCTGAAATATTTCACATTAACCAAGCCAAACATGACGCCAAAGATGGCCGCTGGCTAAAAAGGGCGCGTTTATTTGAAAAAGTCATTCCGGGAACAGTCATTTTGGGAACGCTGCCGGACTTGACGGAGCGTTCCCGAAATGATGATGACGTTCTCGAGATGACTATTTAATTACCCGAGTAGTTTATGTTATAACTATTGCTTAATTAATGTAGTGTTGGTGCGCTTAAATAGTTTTAATACATGGTTTTTTTCTAGCAATATGGAGTCCCAGGACGCTGCAACAAAAAGAAAACTTTCTAAGAAGCAACTTAAAAAAAATAGTTCAGCTTACTTGCGCCAACGAGAAAAAGCCAATGCAAGAAAAAAGAAATTCTTAGATAAGATGACAGAGGAAGAGATAGAGATCAAAAGGGCTAAGGATAGAGCATACTATCGGAAAAAGAAAGCTGAGAAGAAAGTTAAAAACATTTCTGAGATGACTGAAAGAGAAAAGCGAAAGCAAAGAAAAATTTGGAAAGAAGCGTCAAAGAAATACAGAGAAAAGAAAAAGACATTATCAACTATACTAAACAATACTCCGCCACATTCCGATGATGAGTTAGCTGCAACACCTTCAGTAAGAAAAACAGTGGGTAGAAAAATTGTGCGGAAGGACAGAGCCAAAGCATATCGTAAAATCAAACAACAGGAGAAAACAATTGCTAAAATTACACGTAAATATGAAACCTTGAAGAAAAAACTAAGAAGAAAAGAAAATAGAGAACAGGAGAAATCTCAGCCACCAACAACTCCTAACAGCAAGGTTGACGCATTGATAAAAAATGTTGACGTCCCTCCTGAGGTGCGCAAGAATCTTTTATTTAACGAAGTACTGACTACGCAATTAAAAGAAAAAGCTGGTAGTTTGAAAAAAAACTCTAAAGAGAATGAAGTCTTCCAAAAATGTGTCAGCGGTGATTTGGTAAGGAAATACAAATTGCTTCATATGGTTAAGACTTTTTTGCCAAAAGAAAGAACCAGTACATCGATTTTGAAGTCGGATACCAAAATTCGTGAGGTTGTGTTGAAGCACCATATTCGTCAAAAAGTTGAAGATTTCTTCCAGAGTGACGATATCAGTAGGATGTGCCCAGCTAAGAGAGATTTTGTGAAAAAAACGGCATTAAGGAACAAAAACGCATCCTTTTACTTCCTGTTAAAGAACTGATGTCAAAATTCGTTAGCGAAACTGGAATAAACTTGTCTTATACGACATTATTAAGAGCAAAACCATTTTGGGTGGTATCTCCAAAATTAAGAGACAGACAAACTTGTTTGTGTGTCAAACACGAAAATTATTAATTCAAGCTGAAAAAATTAAAAAGCTTACACCAAATTGCTCAAGGGAGTGTAGAGAAAAATATCGAGGAGTATAGTTGCGACATAACTTCTTATGACTGCATGAATGGTATATGTGATAAACGCAACAATCCTACGCTTGAGCCAACTGATAATACAGATTCTGTTAAATATTTCCAATGGAAGTCTGTTATTGAAGAAAAAATTGTAAAGGGCCAGAATAAGAAGTTCAAGATCACGAAAAAAGTTACAATTTCAAGTACAGTCAAAGAATTAGAAATATCTTTTATTCAAGACATTCCAGTTATGAAAAAACATTTATACGGCATTTATAAATACAACAAATTGAAAAAAGAGTTGAAAGAAAATTTAACTGAAGAAGAGATTTTGATACAGATAGACTTTTCGGAGAATTACACAAGTAAATACGCAAGCGAAATCCAGTCGACTCATTTTGCAAAAAAACAATTGTCTATTCATACAGGCGTCTATTATATACGGAACGTTGACAACATTTTACAAATCTAAATCTTTTGCTACCGTAAGCGAAAACTTCGATCATCAAGCTCATGCGATATGGGCTCACATGAAACCGATCCTACAAACGGTATTGGAAAAAAAAGATATTAACGCCCTTCATATCTACTCTGATGGTCCAACATCCCAATATCGCAATCGAACTAATATACATCTCTGGTTACAAACATTAATAACTGAATTCAAGCAGATAACCAAATCTTCTTGGACGTACAGTGAACCTGGGCATGGCAAAGGACCTATGGATGGCGTAGGTGGTGCTCTTAAACGGATTGCCGACAGGCATGTTTTAATGGGACGAGATATTCAAACAGCCTCAGACTTAATAAATTTATTCACGGATTCTACTATTTTAGTAAAAGAGATTCCTGATGAAGACATTTCTACCGCAAAAGATTTAGTTCCGAAAACATTAGATGCTATACCAGGTATCATGAATATTACAAGGATTACATGGCAAAGAGGACCAGACGTTACAATCAAACTGTACCGACACGAACGTTTTGAAAAGCAACTAAAAATGTCTACATTATCTTGCAGCTTATATCCGAAGTTTGAACCAATAAATATGGGAATACTGTCAAGGAAGTCTCCTCAACCGAACGAGTCGATGGATATACAAGATCTACTGAAATCAAAGAAACGGAGTATCTATAAAAGCATTTATTATTCATCATCATCCGATGATGATGATTTAATGTCGATTTCTGTCCGTCAAAAGACTGCGCAAAAGTCAGTTACTGTTGAAGCTGGTACATCTTACATTGAAGGCAAGGAAAACCTACACCCAAATTTGATATCCCCTGGAACATTTGTATTAATTAGAGTACCTACACAAAACAAAACTGTCAATTACAGATATGGTGCCACCTGTAAGACAGGTGTCGATAAAGATGATGGAGAAATCCTAGTCACTTACTTAAAGTCGGTATGTAATAGTGCCAAAAAATTCAAATTAAATTTGAGTGACGTATCCTACATTGCATTTGAGCAAATAATTAGCATTATTCCAATGCCATTACTAAAAAAAGAAAATAATCGAGAATATTATTACTTTGATACTGACATTGATGTTTATGAACAATTCTAATTTTTATTTAATTTTATATAGTATATATCCACGTGTTTGATTATTGTATGATTAAGAAAGCTTGTTTTTGTTCAAAAGTTTAATTTGAATTTACTATAGAAATACCTTTTAGTAACATGTTTACATCTATAAATAATATATGTTTAAGTGTTTAATTAATATGGTTATAGGAACTTGTTTTTGTTTAAAAGTTTAATTTGCTTTTACTGTTGAACTATCTATAAGTAACATGTTTAGATGATTTGATTATTATTTATTACCAACAAGATTAAACTTGAATATGATTATGAAAAATCTTTGCTTGGTTGATTGTAAGACTGGAAAAATGTGATTTAAGTTATATTTTTGTTAAGAATAAACCTTCTGCCAAGTACATAAATAAGTATGCTATCCAAACATTTCTTTTTTCATCGTCTAACATGGATTTTATGTGTACCGTCATTTCGAGAACACATTCATCATTCCGTGAAGGCCTGATCATTTCCGGGAACATCACTAAATCATGGATAAAACATTATTATTTTGAATATTCTGAAAAAGGCCCTAGTAATATAAAAACTAGGCCAACTTTTAATGCGTACAACTTACTCATTTATATATAAATCAGCAATATAAGCATATTTAGATAATTTAATACAAAGAAATAGTCAGATGGCTCCATTTGTAACGATATTTTGCTTTTAAATATTTGTTTTTGCAATTTTGTTAGAATTTTTTTATTTCCTACTATTTTTCACATACTTCCGCTACTGAACAGAGTAAAGAAGAAATACTTAAGTTATATTTAAATTTTAAAATGAATGTCACAAAAACGTTCCCATAATGACTCTTTTCAGCGGTAGCTCAATTTAAAAATCAAATGACAACAATAATAATTAATTCTATGCTCTGCCAACGTAAATATTGTTTAAACACAAGTCTAGTGATCATTCTAGATAATCATCAAAGTAATCGTTGCCAGTTATTTTTTTTATGAAATAGAATTTGGAATTTGCCACCTTGGTGATTTTGACCCAAATAATGTTCTTTTAATAGTACATATCTAAGAAATATAAGATCCAAATAAAGCAGTGCTTTATTTGGCGAATAAGAATAAGGTTTTGAAATCCATACATGGTTTCCTCATTTTTCACTTTCAAGTTCAAAAATTTATCGAAAGTCGTTGTTGTTCACTGATCGCGATAAAATTTATTTTTTGAGTTGTTGGAGTCAAATGTAAAAAAATAGAGGGTATTTGTATTTCAATTCGAACAAAAAATTGTTTGCCCTCAGAGGCTGGACACCCTATGATTGTCTTGTAACGGGTGATTTTTTAAGAGGTATAGGATTTGATTTTCAAAAAAAAAACACAAAAAATTGAAAAAACGAGTAAATCTTTATTTGAGTCGATAGAACGGTCGATATAATTTAATGTTTAAAGATTATTTCATGTAAATGTTGGCCGCGGCTCCGCTTCAGATGGCCCATGCGCAAGGTCCAATTTTGGCACACTCTCTCCAACATATCGGCCGGTATCTCACGAATAAATGCTTCAATATTGGCTTCCAGTGCGTCAATCGTTGCTGGTTTATCCCTGTAGACATTAGCCTTAACATGGCCCCACAAGAAATAGTCAAACGGCGTTAAATCACACGATCTGGGCGGCCAATTGACGGGCCCCAAACGTGAGATAAACTGTTCACCGAACTCGCCTCTCAATAGGGCCATTGTTTTTTGTGCGGTGTGGCATGTGGCACCGTCTTGTGGAAACCACATGTCAGCCAAGTCCAGCTCTTCCATTTTGGGCAAACAAAAGTTTGTTATCATCGCACGGTAGCGCTCGCCATTCACAGTTACGCTCCGGCCGTTGTCGTCTGTGAAGAAGTACGGGCCGATGATGCCACCGGCCCATAATCCACACCAAACAGTGATTTTTTCGGGATGCATTGGTAGCTCTTGCAATGCTTCTGGCTGGTCTTCACTCCAGATGCGGCAATTTTGCTTGTTAACATACCCATTCAACCAGAAATGAGCTTCGTCGCTGAACACAATTTTTCGATAAAAATGTGGATCTTCCTCCAACTTTGCCAGCGCCCATTCACCAAATTGGAAACGTTGTGGGCTTCAATTCTTGCACCAGCTGTATCTTATAAGGTTTTACACCCAAATCCTGTCGCAAAATTTTCCACGTAGTGGAGTAACAGAGGCCCAATTGCTGCGAACGGCGGCGAATCGACATTTCACGGTCACCACTAACACTGGCGGATACAGCCGCAATATTTTCTTCAGTCCTCACTCTACGTCTGCGTGTTGGTGGTTTAATGTCCAACAATGTAAACTGGGTTAGAAATTTAGTCGCAAGCTTCCGAATAGCTCCCTCAGTAGGCCGACCAAATTGCCCATAATTTGGAAGCAGCGCTCGATGGACTCTCTTAACCGAGCATGAATTTTGATAGTAAAATTCAATAATTTGCAGGCGTTGTTCGTCGATTCATGGTTAAATTATAGACCAAACTGAACAAGTTTGACAATGACACAAGACACGATTCACGCGTCATCTGTCAAAAACACTGTTGCCGAAAAGATACTAGCAAAAAAATCACCCATTATAATTGATCTTAATTATTGTTACTTTATTTATTCTTTCTATTGTTTGTCGTTTTATCAGTAGATGTTTTTGGTTGTTTGTCCTTTATTTCGTCTTTCTTACATTTTTTATACATATAATTTATACAAATAATAGTTTTGATTTTTCAATATCAGTAAGGTATGCAGTGGGAAGCTTAGCTTTGTATTGATTTGACCTATCCTATATCACATCCGTGATCAAACAGGACTAATAAATCATTATTATTCAATTTGGTAGAGGAACTACATGGCTGCATAAAAATTATCGAATAAATCTCCGTGTCTGCATTGTTTTGGGTAAACATTCCCTTAACTCCGGATCGACCACGCTGATCAAATGAGCGAAAAATCGGCAAATAATGAGTGAACTCTGACCGATCGTGCGCCGCGGAGGGACAAACGTGGAACCGAACGAACGAGAGAAAGGTAACTCCCTAGCTCCGTGCTCCGTGCCGATCCTGCTTTGGCCATCAATCAATATTTCTGTCCTTTATTCCACTCGGACGGGTTCATAACATTTTTAAAAATTCATGAGCGAATCTATGAATAAAGTTGGAGGCGGGAGTACGGAGCATATATAAAATAATGAAGCAATGCAACTATATTAAGTGACATATAAATCCGAACACCCAGTTTAAATGGTTTTATTTTAATAAAAGTTGGTGAATGTATTTATCTTAGATACTAGATATACCAAAATCCAGAGTTTGAGTCGTTCGAGCTGCGAGGCTGGCAGCGACAGACGAACCGCGCAACGTTGCCATTGTTGTTATTTCATTAAATTTGCTACTTTTTGGGCATGATTGGGTTTGTTTACAGGATTTTGAAAATTGAATAGGTTTTAAAAACCATAGATTC